TTTTGTTTTCTTGATGAGCTCACCAGCATTCCTGACAGATGGTGTTTGTTACCAAAAGAGAATTTTACTTTCATGGCTGTACGATTCACACTTTGTCACTGCACATCCCTCCGGCTCAATCACAGGAAATGTTTATCCATGCGATTACTCGTACTCCTCTGAGATGGATAACCTGCCTTCATCTCCTTTTTGTTTTCGTGACTTTTCACACAATACCTGGTAGACTGCCTCAACAACAGCTTTAACGCTATAATAACTTTTCTATTTGAAGTCAAATACAACAGATTTACCAGTGGGATGGAGGGTTTTTTCCCCGTTTTTTTTTCTTCCCCAAGTTCAATCTTAAACTTAAGACTTCATTATAAACTAAAATCCCATTCTTTTAAACTTGACATTTCTCTACTCTATCTTTTCTCTCTTTTTCTCTGTTTCTGTGTGGATCTTCACAGAAAGCAAGAGACGACTGCCTAATCTGCCAGACTCAGACTATGCTAGTGGACAGACAAATAAAGCACTGTTCCAGCTTCTGATGTACAGAAATTTGGTGTCTCGTCTATTTTCCTAATGGAGAGATAGTGGTTTAATGTGCAATTGTGGGCATTTTAGAGATTAATACGTTAATGAGCTATCTACAAATGAATAGCTCCTTTGGAAGAAGCAGTGCAAGTGTTTCGGGTAATACAGTTAATAAGCCACAGTCACGCCACAAAATGTACCACAGAAGGGGCTCTCATAGCTGCAGGGGCGATGGATAATATGGTTCATTAAAGAATCACAGATTTATTCCCCTGTTCATGGCTGTGGCTATGGCAGTCCGAACATGACCAGGCCTTCCTTATCTGGCGCACAAAGTACACTTGTGTGAAAATCTCCAGGCGAGAGGAGCAGGATCTGAGCCAAGATCAAACCAGGCATTACATCATGCAATCACACTGCACTTTCTTTTGGAGCACAATGGTATGTCTGATAAGAAATTTTCTTTACCAAATCTTGCCTTGACTATTTGTAATGCTTTCTTTTTAGCCAGACAGTGTAAAGTAGAAACATTGTACTACCAGTTTATAGCTCAGTTTTTTAAAAAGCTGCCTAGTACAGTCCTTTAGTTTTTTTACAGTCATAAATCATAGAAACATCTGTATTAGCAATCTTAAACAAACTGCATTTTCAATATGCAGGAATTGTATCGTCTCAGTAAGACTTGCAGCAGTTTCGTGCCATCTGTGCGATGGCACAGACTGAGAATCTGTTCTCCACAGATTAGCGCTGTTCATTTGCTTCGTAATGAAGTCTCTCTTAGCAGAACAGTAGGCGGTCATGCCCCCTTTTAACATGGACCTTGGGAGCTCTGGCACTGTTATACAGTGGCAAACAACTGCAAAAACAGATGGAAATAAAATAATCTATGCCTACAATGTCCTTTATCTTGACCCAGCTGGGAAATTACTTTAATGGTTGCCAAAGTTGATGTTCGGATGAATGTTTAGTCAATATATGAAACGCCATAAAGGCAGTATCTACCAGTCCCACTTTGTTAATTCACAAAGATCACAGTAAGAAGTGAAGAAGAAGAAGTAACTTCGTAACAGTTAAAGAAAACTGAACTCTTAGGAGAATTTGAAAGCGAAGAATGTGAAAGAATGCCCGTTAGCATAGTTGATATACACCAGACAGCTTCAGCCAAATACAGTGGAGCAAAAAAGTATTTAGTCAGCCACCGATTGTGCAAGTTCCCCCACTTAAAATGATGACAGAGGTCAGTAATTTGCACCAGAGGTACACTTCAACTGTGAGAGACAGAATGTGAAAAAAAAATCCATGAATCCACATGGTAGAATTTGTAAAGAATTTATCCGTAAATCAGGGTGGAAAATAAGTATTTGGTCACCTCAAACAAGGAAAATCTCTGGCTCTCACAGACCTGTAACGTCTTCTGTAAGAAGCTTTTCTGTCCCCCACTCGTTACCTGTATGAATGGCACCTGTTTGAACTCATCATCTGTATAAAAGACACCTGTCCACAGCCTCAAACAGTCAGACTCCAAACTCCGCCATGGCCAAGACCAAAGAGCTTTCGAAGGACACCAGGAAAAGTATTGTAGACCTGCACCAGACTGGGAAGAGTGAATCTACAATAGGCAAGCAGCTTGGTGTGAAAAAATCAACTGTGGGAGCAATCATCAGAAAATGGAAGACATACAAGACCACTGATAATCTCCCTCGATCTGGGGCTCCACGCAAGATCTCATCCCGTGGGGTCAAAATGATCATGAGAACGGTGAGCAAAGATCCCAGAACCACACGGGGGGACCTGGTGAATGACCTGCAGAGAGCTGGGACCAAAGTAACAAAGCTCACCATCAGTAACACACTACAACGGCAGGGAATCAAATCCCGCAGTGCCAGACGTGTTCCTCTGCTGAAGCCAGTGCATGTCCAGGCCCGTCTGAAGTTTGCCAGAGAGCACATGGATGATACAGCAGAGGATTGGGAGAATGTCATGTGGTCAGATGAAACCAAAGTGGAACTTTTTGGTATAAACTCAACTCGTCGTGTTTGGAGGAAGAAGAATACTGAGTTGCATCCCAAGAACACCATACCTACTGTGAAGCATGGGGGTGGAAACATCATGCTATGGGGCTGTTTTTCTGCCAAGGGGACAGGACGACTGATCCGTGTTAAGGACAGAATGAATGGGGCCATGTATCGTGAGATTTTGAGCCAAAACCTCCTTCCATCAGTGAGAACTTTGAAGATGAAACGAGGCTGGGTCTTCCAACATAACAATGATCCAAAACACACCGCCCGGGCAACAAAGGAGTGGCTCCGTAAGAAGCATTTGAAAGTCCTGGAGTGGCCTAGCCAGTCTCCAGACCTCAACCCCATAGAAAATCTGTGGTGGGAGTTGAAAGTCCGTGTTGCTCGGCGACAGCCCCAAAACATCACTGCTCTCGAGAAGATCTGCATGGAGGAATGGGCCAAAATACCAGCTACTGTGTGTGCAAACCTGGTAAAGACCTATAGTAAACGTTTGACCTCTGTTGTTGCCAACAAAGGTTATGTTACAAAGTATTGAGTTGTATTTTTGTTATTGACCAAATACTTATTTTCCACCCTGATTTATGAATAAATTCTTTACAAATCCTACCATGTGGATTCATGGATTTTTTTTTCACATTCTGTCTCTCACAGTTGAAGTGTACCTCTGGTGCAAATTACTGACCTCTGTCATCATTTTAGGTGGGGGAACTTGCACAATCGGTGGCTGACTAAATACTTTTTTGCCCCACTGTAGTTGAGCAGACTCACAAATGAGTTCAGCCTTGTGTGGTGTGATGTGCGTCTCTGATAATGTTTGCTATCTCTTGGCATTAGACTTCAGAGAAGCAAAAAATTCTGTCTTACAATCAATTAATTAATTAATTCTGTCTTCTTGTATTTGTCTAATACAAGGGCCAAATGTGTAATATTACTTTATAGCCCATTACCTTGCCAAAAGGTGTGATTTGATGGAAAACACACTTATAAAGCTAAAAGACAGTAAACAATGGGTCATTTTTTGAAAAATTACTGGAGGTAGTTTAGGAAATCCCAGACAGCATTTTGCATTGATTATCTGGAATACTGGTGGTAGAACTCTGACCAACACTGGATTTTTTCATCCGCACTGTAACAAGGAGCTGGGCTGAGAGGATCTTTCCAGAACTGTGTGTAACTGGACTTTTTCAGTGATATTTAACTGTACCGTATTGTTTTATTTTCCTCTTTTCTTCTAAGTACAAACAGTATTACGCTGTTCTGATTAAATATTCCCTTACTTTGGGATTGTGCCTTCAGTGCAATCTTCAGGACCTCAGTTAAATAGAATTACTTTGTCTTGTCTTAAAAACAGGTAGAGAAGAAATTGCTAGCAGTGTCGACCTTGAGGTTACAGGGCTGAACTGAACAATATGGGTTGTGTTTGTTTCAATAAACAGCAGTTAAATGTCATTTAAACAACCTGTTAAAATGACAAAGCTTTGACTGCTGCAATCTAGAAGAAAAAGGCCATGCAAAAAAACTGCTGGGTGTCTAAAAAAAAGTGTGGCCATGTTGTGATAGTGTTAAGGGGTAAGTGAAAATGTAATGAAAGGAAACGGAGAAAGACTGACAAGCAGTATGTAAATTTGCAATTATAGTCACAATCGTAAATACACTTCAGTCTGTGTTGTACTTAATTGCTCGTCATTAAAATATATATTTTAATGTGCATGCAGTCATCCAAATGTACGACATGTGCTTGTCTGGGTTTGTGGTGGACAGAGTAAACATGGTACATGCTACATATTGAGAGACTGCTGAATCAGCAGCTGAAACGCTGGCAGTCTGAGCCGAAGAGGCTCAGCTTACTCAGCTGGGATTTTATTACTTTCCCTCTTTGTATTGCCCGTCCACTTCCTTCTAGCTCTCACTGTATGGTATCTCCAAATGGTCTATTTACCAGGTGCATTGAAAAAAAAATCAGTTTTAAAGTACAACAAGGCTGACACTAACACTGGTTGCAGTTGTCTCTTTTTTCACTACATTGCTTGGGAAAAACAAAACACCATGGTAATATGGTGTTAAAAATGTAAAATCTCTGCAGGAGATAAAATATTCATTAAAATGAACACGAGGTCCAATAGAGTGTGTCTGTAAGTAAGCAAGCCATCTTTTTGATTTGGCATCTGGTATATAAGGTACTTATATGCCACCACCTTTGCTGGAGCCTCAGCAGAGTGTGAAAATGTGATTTGAGGTGAATATCCTTTGCCAGGTAGGAGATGAATAAAAGAGAGAGTTTGTGACAGTTCTTAGAAAACAATAACAGGGTCACTTAGCTGAAAAAAAGAAAGCACACTGTCTCTCCAGAGGCAGGCACTTCCTTAGTTATATAACGCAATTGATATTCTAAATAAACACGCAGACTTCGTGTGGAATTGTGCTTGTATAGTGAGTGTTTTTGCATGGAAAGGTGTGACTTACAGTGTTTGTCTTGACCGTCTCCTGAGGCTTGACAACCATCTTCATCATCACACTCTGTGGTGCTGCCCTCCTCCCTTTTCCCACTGCCCAGCTCTTCCCAGTCTTCCATTTCTGCCAATTCTGGAAACATTTCCTCTGTGTCCTGCATTTGCACAGAAATATGGTTAATGCATAAGATTCCAATATCCTGCATGTGAAACACTGTGAGCAACTTTTAATATAGATAACATATGATATACTTTAACATAAGTTTCTTTTTGATACTGCAAGCTGCAGATCCTTCAAAAATCTGTCATCTGTTGGACTGTTGGATCATAGTGGAAGATCCCATTACTCCTGTATAAATCTCAGGACACTTTCTGAGAGCAGAAAGGTTCTGAAATGTAGAAAGGTTTGGCAGAAAACAAACCAATTATACAGTGGCAGTTGTTAATTCTTTTGGTGAATTATTCTAATTTATATTAGGTATTAGTCTATATACAGCTGAAATAAGACTTTATCAGCCTGGCCCATCAGGACCATATCCTTCCCTCCTGCTGTGTGGCCACCTAATTGGCTTTGTTGGCCCTTCATGCTGTCCATCATCATCAGGGTGGTCTCTGCTCCATAACACCATGTCTGACAAACTCTCATGACACAATAAGAAAACTGTACTTTGCACATTAAGTTCAAAATAAGGGCATAGATATCAGAACTTTGGAATATGTGAAATTATAGATGGATGCATTTGCACACATGTGTGAATACACTGTTAAACCTGCTTTACAAAGTTTACAAGATCATTCCTGGGACTAACTGACCTTAAAGGGAAGGCACAACCAGCGAAGACATGTTGAGAGGTGAATGAGAGGCATGGAGTTGGCCCCATTCCTCTCATTCACCTCTCGACATGTCTTCAGGTGTTGTGGGATTACAGATGTCTTTGCTATTGACACCACCCCAGTGACTCACTCATACACCTGACAACAGAAGAACAAGTTCTCTCCTAAGCCTTCAGTGCCCCAAAAGAAACATTTCACAAAACCAGACAAGTTTATTTATAAGAATTAGAGTGCAAAGCTTAAGAGAAACAAGACAGAGAATCAGACATGCTAGTGGTCCAGTGATAACACACTCATCCCACGTGATGTTTCAAACTACAGTAAACGTTAACATGCTATCTTCAACAAGCTTAATGTGCTTCTACAAAGGGTGGCTGTCAGTCTGCAACATGTTCCAAGTGTGTGGATTCAGGAAAAAAAAAGTTTCCTGAAAAGCTTGTTGTTCATATAAGTAACACAAAGAAAAACCAATGTTAAGTGGGCTCACCATGTAGGTCCAAAAAAGTGTCTGCACAGACTATCATGGAATTTACATTCTGCAAATTCCCACAGACCCTTACAGACTAACATAAAGGAATCTCAACTGTTAAAGGTATGTGTCTTAAAATGTATATTTTGACTTGATGATAGCACAATAAGAAAAGTCTCATGGTCCCAAAAAAGATGCATAAGGATAATCTAATAACCTCAACTAGCAGGGAAAAAAAGCAAGGAAACAGATTAATCGCGCTCATGGCAACTAATTTATTTGCTAATGGCAAAGAAAGGTTTAATTTTCAATTAATAAGATGTTTCATAAGAGGTTTACTTAAAACAAAAACTAGATGTCAAGATAGTCAAAGCCCCAAACTGACAAACAGAGAAACTGAAGCACAAACCAAGGAAGCTACACGGAACTGAATTTAACTTAAGATAATAAATAAATGCTTGTTTGGGTACCAGAGTTATTCAAACAGACATATTAGTATTCTTTTTTCCTTTTTCTTCTTCTATCACATTAGTGATTGCAGATGCTAGAGAAAGACATTTAGAATGGTTTTGACTCAAGCTGGTACTTTTACATGATAATCGGTATACTCATTACTTCCATCATGTTTCACATTCAACCACATTCAACCAATGTGAAAGTACATCTTCTCACTGTGGCCTGAGAGAGTAAAATGAGATGATACAGCTATAACCACTTAAGTACAGGCTGATAAACCAGATCTTGTACATTTCAGGTAAAAGTGAAAGTCATTGGTAAAACTGGATGTCTTAATTTTCACAAGTGTGAATAAATTACAATAGGAGGGGAACAGGGTGAACAATATTTGACAGTTGTTAGAGTTCCATATTTTATAGTATGAGTTAATTCATGTTACAGTTTGCTGACAGACTAATGACTGATAACTGAGACAATCTGGGAAAAAAGAGAAAGCAATGTTCTTGAATAAGATAAACCCATTATGATTTTTCTATCATGTAAAGCAACTAAATAAATTCAGTGTGCATTACAGCAGTTCACACCCAAATGCTCTGCTAAGCAGCATAATGTTCGCCATCACTTGATGCCAGCGTGATATTAAGCTTATAACTATGGCACTGAGTGGATGTTTGACACAGTGTTGCTTGGCCCAGCTGTCCTTAAAGCATGTTAATTAGGGAGTGAATCAATTAAGGTGTTGTTGCTGTGGAAACCACGGTTAGTATAATTGTTGGTTTGTTGCTGTCTACTGAGTGCAGGGTGTTGGGTTATTTTTGTTAAGTCATGATTGCTAAATGGTCAAACTAAAGTCCTTCCTTTACAATTGTAACATAGCGAGGAAGCAAATTTATAATTTGTCTGTGGAGCTAGAGACAGATATGAATAACATGAATGTATAATGTGATAGAAAAAGACTGCTTCTGCTCTGGATTTCAATGAGCATCTTAAGCACTTTCTTAAAATGGTTTGTATTTATTTAATTTTCCTTCTCGCTTTAGAGCAGAAGCCATCAACACATCAAGGGAGCGTTTGTTCACAGGCAGCCTGCTAAGCTGTGTCAGTTTTTTTCAAATATAAAATATGCTACAAAAAGAAAACAACAAAGAAAACCGTAACAATATGTTCAACAACACAAAGGTTGATCTGTTTATGAGAAATAACAACAACGACTCAAAGGGTCATCCTCCTGATCTGTCTCCAATGAGGTACAATGAGTAGACAAATGGGAACAATATCTCAATAGCAGCAGACTTTACATTATGGATAAGTCAGAGATTTACTGTGCCTTTGAGATGCAGACAGATGGTTTTGTTCTAACATGACTCGTCACTCTCTCTGACATGTCTGTGTACCGTTGGGTTAGAACGACCTATTAGAATTGAGAACATGTATATGTATTTACATTTCATTTCAATTTAAACTTTCAATAGTTTCACTGAAATGAAGACTGACAAGCTATAATTTGCGAGCGCAATTAACTTTACAATGTTTTATGATAATCAGAAGTTATTATCGTTAATGCCATCATCTATATATACTGAATGCCAACAGTTTCCGAGAAACAACAAAGACAAATGAAAGATTTTCAAGTCTGGGAAAGAAAACTGAAACATTTTGTTGTTTTTCTTTTTAAAAAAGGAGCACAGACAGGCGCTTGAACAACTTGCAGTTGTGTAAGCTGATGGGTACGGCGAGGGCACAGATACAAGATACAAACCTTTTCCTTTAAGGCTTACCTTGAAATTACCCTGGCATCCAAGGGCAAATCAGGTATTCCAAAAAGGCTTTGAATAAAATCCCAAATCATGAAATATTTTCTAGTTCCCCTCTCACAGTGCCAACTAATGCACCTCTCTCTTTCTTTTCAAAAGCATTCTTTAGTTAGAGGATGATGCGGCAGGTTTGAGAGAATCAAGGGCTGAATTCCTGCATTTTTTAATGCTTCCTAGTCACGCTAAAATCTGTACTGCCAGGAGTAACCAATCACCTTGGAGTCTAGAAGAAAGACTGAGCTGTATAGATTCTGCTGTAATGTAGACATAAATGGGACATCTAATCATGAAATGTAAAAATGTGAAATGTGACCACTTGGCATATGATGAAACCTACTGCAACAGTTACAGTAAGCATTTTCATATGGCTATGCATACATTTAGGGTATGATTGGCAACCTTGCGGACAAGGATCATAAGTCCTATCCTCCATGTGCCCACATCTGCTCTTTTTCAGCCCTGTCTGAAACAGTATCACCTCATCGAGGGCAGTGGTGATAAAACTGCATATGCGGGCAGAAAAAAAAGGAAAGCAAAGGAAATTCTGGAGGATACTGAAGGAAAAACTGACAGCGGTGAATGTCTGCATAACATAAGTACTCTCAACTTGTTGAATGAAATTGGCTACATTTTCTCACATACTGTTACGGCCAACAATGCTTTTAAGTAAAAACAAACATCAGCTGGGAGACAAAATATGAGTGTTTAAATATCCGTTATGTCTGTGTGTCTGTGGATGTCCCCAATTAAAGAGGAACTGGATGCAATTATCTCTATTTCTCACACTGCCTGACAAAGAAAAGGCGGCTGGGAGAGAGACGGAGCGAGGGAGAAGCTTCTTCTAAAAGTATAGGAATGAAAAGATGAAAACGGTGCATCCTAAGAAGAGTGACAGGTTCAAAACAAACTCTGGACAGCCGCAGTGCTCTGCCATCCATACCTGCAGTAGCTGTACTGTGCTGCTTGTGTATATTAATTATACCTGTTATGGTCAACAAGACTGTTCATAACTATAAAAGAGCCTTATCCATGTGTATGTAGAGCAATTGTTATTTTCTGATGGCAGCAGTGGTTTCATTATAATATAGTTTATCATAGCTTCGTTTTTATAATTTAAATTACTCCGTCTGTCTACAGCAGCCTTCATATTCCCCACATGTTAAGAGAGAAAAAATCATGTTTGGATGCAATTGCAAAATACAATTTGGGCAAATTTATAGGGGAAACACAGAGAAAAGCTATAGAAGGATCTGTCTTGGTGAACCAAATCTTGAATATAATGAGCCAGAGGTGTTCACATGGACTAATTTTGCATGACATTTTATTAAATCAGTATGAAATCTGAAAACAGATGCTGTTTGTGGAAAAAAACAGTCCACCTAAGTTTCTTAGAACTCTGAGCAATGTTTTCAACATTTTTCAACAACTGCCGAGCCACACCTCCACTACAAGCTAGCACAAGCTGATTGAGTTTGTCGCTGTTAGTGACACTCTGTTGGACATGCCCTCATGTAACCCCCATTAACCTAATCGCTGCATTAGATTGTCACACCCTGCTCCTGTAAGGTACTGACTGAAACAG